GCATCTATCAATAGGCATTGCTCAGGATTTTCTACAAAATATTTTCGACCATACATGTTTTCTTGAAAAGTATCAACCCACCAAGGCAGAGCTTGGGACTCATACAGCCTATACTGTGTGTATCACGTCCCTGTGTAATCAATAATCAAACAGGTACTGCCTTGAAAAATTAGAACCCGTGTTAGGATACAGCTTCTCAGTGTAAAACACATTCAATTTCCTTGCAGTATGGAAGGCTAAGCATGCTCTAGTGTTTTAATTAGTCCATTCTCCATTGGTTTAACTGGCCAGCTTAGGCAAATCCCTTTAGACCATTAAAAAAAACACACATCATAAAAAACAACTATTAAAAAAATCTTGTTAACACTGCAACCAACTCATTTCATAATGATCTAACTGGATACAAAGATACAATAAGCTACAACATTGGAAAAGCAGATTTCCACATCCCATTATTAAGGCGAAACTCTATGATGGAGTCCTGCAGATCAAATATGGTCCGTGAAAAATAGCTGAGAAAAATAATTAAATGAACTGCCTTGTATGAAGTAACTCTCCTAAGATAAGCATTACTTTTCTTTTCGTTATTAGTTACTTACAAAATGCTATTTTGATGCACACACAGTACTGCTGTGCAGTTATTATAAATAGTAGGCTTTACCCTCTACTCTTATGAGTGAGAGATGCAAGACAACATCTTCTGATTTATTTCACAGTCCATACCAGCAAGATCCTTGAGTTCCTAAATAAGTACTATAATCTCTAGACCTGCTCTGCCTGAGAAGAAACTCTTTTACTCTTTCCCCCTGAACATCCTTAGTACCTTTCTAGATTAATTGTGAGGATCTCTCTTTTTTCTTTTTTTTTTCTATTCTTTTCCCCCTTCCTTTGGTTTTATATCTCACAAGAATGAAAGAGAGTGGATATTAATACAGCTGTTGCATTCTTCTCCACCTCACAAATGCCAGCTAAGGACAGGTAAGAGAATCTGTTGGCTTATTTTTACTTCATGTCTTCCTGGAATGAGACACTAGTTGTAGAAAAACAGTCTTAACTCCAGGCCCTGATAGGAGATAATAAGATGCTGAGCCAGGTTCTTTCCACTTTGATGTTCAATCTGGCTTACCATCTTGTCTTACCAGTTTTAGGGCAATAGTTAATTATTTGTGGGCATGGGAAAAGCTTTTAACTGCTGATTTGAAAAAAAATGTACATATACAGATATGCATGGGTAGACAAAAAAAAATTTGATCTTTTCTATTAGAAATGGCTCTCAGGAGGTAAAGAAAAAGATGTGTGTAGGTGATGAAGTGTGATAATATGAAAGACTGCAAGACAGTTGCTTAAGAAACAAGAACAACAAAGGAATAAACTACTGCAGGCATCACCAGAGCTGGAATGACATTGTACTGTGTACTATGTTTCCACGGCAACTAGCCATAGGAAGATGAATGTTTCATATTCACCGTGCTCTGCAGTACATGTCTATAAATCAAACTTGCATAAAAGAGCATAAGATTTCTTCCGTGGGGTGGCTCTGAAAACCGGGTTATTTTCTCATTATTAGATAATTACATGAAAGAAAAACGAGACAATTAGGTCATTTTTTCGTATGGAAAGTACCAATACACACAGAAGTACTAATATACCTCTGGCGTGCCATCCTATCAATCTAAGAGTACAGCAGCATAAAATGCAGATCACAAACGCCTTCATTTCTTCCTTGAGATCTGCTTTATGCTTGCCAGCTTTAAAAGCTGTAGGAGACTTTTCTGTCCACTTTTGTATTTGAGGACATTTTTCATCATTTATAAGCTCACTCACATTCACGTGCGATTGGCTGTCAGCTTATTTCTGTTACCACTTCCATTATCACAGCCTGAGGATTTAGCACACAAATACTGACTTTCTCTAAACAAATGTTACAGCTAAGACAAACACTTTCTTAGCAGCCATAATTAATAATGTTGTGTAATTCTAATTCATATTCACATTACTTTTTCTTTTTTTTTTTTTTTTAAAGAATTTGGATCCTGCTTTAAAAGACATGTTCACTTACACCCAGCAATTTATCACAAATTATTATTGCAAAGGACGTGTCACATTTCATATCCATGTTGCAAAATGCAGAACAACAGTACTATTATATTCTGTGCTACCCATTAAAAAGAGCCCCACCATGAAAGAACAGATCATCACATCATTTACCTCAGAAGGTACTTTTGCAACTCAACAAAGAACGTTGAGTTTTCACGGTACGATGGCATTTCAATCAGGTGCACACCAGGTGCATGATAAGCATTTGAGTGTTTTGTTCAATATAAATGCTGTATTAACACAGAAACAAGAAATATTATACTACTGTAAACCTAAAATTCAGGCAAAGTTAGGGCCAGTTAATAAAATAAACTGAAAATTCAACCACATTTTGTGAAACTTTAGCAACAACTAATTGAAGGATATTACTGACATTTCTAAGAAAACAATACATCAGGAGAAAGAATATCTACATTAAAACTGTTTTATCAGGAAGAGATGAAAATATATTTGGTCATATTCACATGGAATTAAAAGTAAAAAATAAAAATGCCCACTTACTATAATCAGAAACAATGCCATTTTTTTTTCTTTTATAAAACAGAGTACTTAATACCACCCCATCCTGAAATGCTATTACCAATTCAATACATCTTTATACATTAATAAAAGAATATGCAGTGTTAAAGTAAAGCAGACGTATTAAGTGTGTATTTCATAGCTCTGTATTCCAGCAAATATAGTAGAGTAACAGATCACAGACTCTGTACTGAGTGTGCAAGGCCTGAGGACTAAAACTTGTCAGACTTGGTCTGAGCTTGCTTGACCTGCCTGAAGCTTTTACTTGATTTATCTCTAACATCAGTTCTTTTAAGAATCAGGTGGCTATGCCTAATTTGTTCTTATGTTTATACAGTATAAACATAGTTTTATAGAGGCAGCAGTAACAAGAATTTATTCTATGTAAAATGAAATATTTATGAGTTTAAGATAATGATGTACAGTAGAGAAATACAGACCTGGCTTGATAGCAGAGACCTTCAGAAGTAAGACAGCATATAGAGCAGAAGAATATAGGCCTAGGATGTTAAGATGCAGGGCACAGGCTAACACTGGAGGACCAAGACTATAAACAACTCACCAACAGGCAGTTAAAGAAATGCAAACACAGGCTACAAAACCAGCTTTACAGATGAGAAAGAGAGTAAAGAATAAGTATCTAAAGCAGGTAATATATGCCATATCTCATAAACTCGGATACAACATGGATTTGCAGACCAATGCAAAAAGAGGAAGGTGTAAATGTGTGTCAGGAGATATATTAAAATGACCCTAAGTGCACGATAGAGTGAGAGAGAGGAGAAATCACTGAAATGAGTACCATATTTCCCATGAAGAAGTCAGAATAACGGCAATTCACCCTATGATGCCCACCTTGAACCTGTCACCACAGAACCAAAAGAGCAGTGAAAGACTTGGAATACTGCAAAAAAGGAGTAGATGTTAGGAAATGTGTATACTGTGTTTAACTGTATTATAATTGAAATTTTTTTCTAATACAGTCTTCTTTTTCATTTTATTTTTCTGAAAATATTAGATTTCTACTAGTAATTATTCTTTGACTAGATTGCTAAGACTTCAATTTATTAACAATAAATTTTTGCTTTATGTATCGGGTGCATCTCCTTTTAGCCATAACATGATTTTGAGTGATAGAGTTGCTGTACAGGTAAGATAGGAACAAGTACATTGACTCTTCTGACCAATACCTATGCCCAAAATATTTCCTCTGGCTTTCTTTTCATACAGTTTTAACCAAATTGTACAATTTAGGGCAAAAGTCTTAGTTCTGCTTCCCTACATAAAGTTCAAGACACACACCGAGAGTTACAAGAAACATCCAAAAGGGATGTGTATTTTAAAAGAGAATTTAGGACTCCCATTCCAAATTATTGTTCTGAAGAGTTCCATGCAGATTTGACCTGTGCAATCCTATGGAAATGTGTATTACACAACACCATTGCACATCTTCTTTCAGGCGTAGCCAAACAAACATTCAAATTTCTGTTTGAAAAAGAAATTTTTCTATGTTTCTTTTCCTGTTTCAAACCTCATCCATAAATATGCAATCACAAGTTGCACTTGCTGGACTGTGTTATTCACTGATTAATATGCTAACATTAGAACTGCTGTTGATTGTGACATGTCTTCTCTAGTTGCATGGTATACTGCAACATTTGTGGTATACTTCTGTTCATTTAATAAATTCATCATGATTAGAATTGAAATTCAAAACCGGGAAATTTCATGGAAAACTGCACATAACCTACTTTAACAATGGTCCTCAGCAAGCTACCTGATGCCATGCCTTCAAAAGTGTAGCACATCTTTCAATGCCTGAGTTACTACCAAACAAATCATTCATATCACAAGAAGAAAGTTTTACACTTTGCAATGCAATGTTTTCCAAAACACTTTTGAAATAATGCTAACTTGCAACTGCTGCGGTAAGATCAATTTCTTTTATGATCCACAAATAACTCTCAAACTTTTGTCCTTTCACTCCTCAGCCAAATCTTACATGATACAGATGCACTAGTTTTAACCCTAAATTTTTCAAGAGAGAGCTCCTGAATGCAGATTTCCTGATTACAGGAGGAAAATGTAAAAGTAAATAACTTTAGGTTTCTTAAGAAAGTATTCAGGCACCAATTTACTTCCTGTATTTAATGGTATCTATTATTGTATTGTATGTATCATATATGTTATTTTTATTTATTCTGTGTTCTTTTTATATTAAAATATATTGTTTACATTTATAATATTCATTATTAAAGGCATTTACATAGTAATGTGCTGAAGTCTGTTCAGTTGCACAACAAAATCTAATCATTTCAACTTACTGAAACATATATAATAAAAAGACTGCAAGTCAGGAAAAGGGATCTCTCTGTTTGTCTTACCTGAAGGCTTCAGGTATGACGCTTTCAGGTAATTTTGAAGAAACAGAATTGAAGGTTTTCTTGAAGTCTTCAAAAGTTAAAAACCCTCTACCTTTTAAATTAAGATTAGACATGAGAAAAATAATACAAAATAACTTAAAAAAATAATAATACAATTATGTTTGCACAGGAGCTAAACAATTTACATTTCTGAAATGATTATACACTTTAAGTTATTGTACTTGCAAAAAATATTTTAGGATGGCTACATCATATTGATAAGCAGTCTCAGAAAGATTTTATACTCAGAAAGGATTTTAAAATTCCTTTGTGCCAGCGTGAACCCTGTTCAAAAGTACTACCTACAATATCCACAACTCTCTTATTAAAATTTTTTAATTTTAAAATTAGACATTTTGAATCGAAAATTCAGACTTGTGAAACTTTGAAAATATATACTCTCAAATATGCCAAATCATCTTTGAAATCTATTATTTCATTGACATACTAGTCACTATGAGCACTGAGTTTAAAAAAAAAAAAAAAAAAAAAAAAAAAACTTCCATAAAAATTTTCCCCTTCAGTTCAATCCTGCTGAAGCTCCTGAAACATATCAGTGATATCAACTGATCGGTCATGTAGGTTATAAATTCACTTCCAGATCCAACTGGAAAATAAAGTACCTCAAACCGTGCTATCGCAGATGGTGTGCAGCAGATAGCAAGACAAACAAAAGCACAGTGCTTGAAACAGTTAAGTCCTTTGAAATAACTCACTAAAAATAACACTTCAAAAGCTACTTTCAGTTCACAGCAAAAAGCTGCAGTGAATGCTCATATGATCATCCCAACATCTGATCTGCCATATGTTTCACTTTCACTTGTTTCAAGGGCCATAGTCCTATCTCAGGTCAGGAAGAAATCAGGAAAGGATCATCTCAATATCTATTTGCTCAGAGGCTTTTTTCCTTTTTTCAGTTTGGTGATGGGAAATCCTCTTTGCTTTCTAACAGGATCAAAAAAGAATCACCACATCTACTTCACAAAAAGAACTAGAGGAAAATCGTGTTGCTTTGGTTTCCCTTCCTTGATCTATTGGGAGAAGTGAAAAAGATCTACAGCCATCACCAAGGACAGAAATGTCTAAAATATGTGGCATAAATATATGAGCGCAACACATGAGTAGGAGTAACAGAGAAATAACAAGAGGTAGTAACAGCAAGTAGGGAGGGTAAGTGGCTGGAGGTTTCTTTCAACAGCTGGAGGAGCTCAGTACAACATCAAAGCCAGAGCTACTAACTAGAACGTTGTAGCTTACTGACCCTGAGTGGTTTTTTTAATATCACCATCTTTGTTACTCTGATACTTTTTCCACTTCATGTGGCAACATCCATGACACCTCATCTTAATCTCTTCTTCTTTCCTTCAGATGTTTTGTTTTGCTTTATTATTTTAGAATTAACACTCAAAATGTTTCAAAGAAGAAACTTACTTTGCACATCAAAAGCTGTGAATATTTGCCATGTTTCACTGTTGTATAGTTGTGCAGCTTTCCTTGCGCTCATGAGATCTAAAAACTTTTCAAATAATATACCTAGAAAAATGGAAATAAATCTCCTTGAAAAATGACAGTTTTATTTTTCTCCTTTAAAATATGTATTACTATTGTCTAATAATTAAAATTCATTTTAACAACAAAAATAAATACAATATAAAAATGGAAATAAAAGTCTTCAAAGTTGGCTCATGCAAACACTTCAATGACTTTTAAAATTTCTCATGTATTTTCTGTATTTGACTAGAATGCATCTGTTTACTTCTACTAAGGTCTTGTAATGTCATCTCATCTTTCCTTGAACTGGAAAGAAACATGGACTTTTCTCAGTCCAAACCACTTGCATGCCATGGATAAAGTTCCATAGATGCTCCATAAACAATGTATCTGGCATCATTCCCAGCACTGAGAACTCTGAAATAATCAGATATAGATTCCTATGAGAGTCACACTAAAATTGAGCGTAAACATGGATTGTTTATTCCTCCTGTGTACTATATCGAAGTCTTTACTTGTACATTTGTCTTATCCTTTTAATGAATGAAAACTGAAAGAAATTTAAAAAGCAAAGCTACTTTGCAAGTACTGTTTGAATTGACCATTTGTTCTAAAATTGAACTAAAGCATAAAATACAGAAACAAAATGCTGCCCCCCAAACTTTAGGCCTTCTCATGAAATACGCAGATATGTATATATAAAAATTTCTGCAAATACATTTTTGGCAAACAAAACAACACTTCAGCTCAAAATTCAAACACAGTCTAATATTTTTCTTGTATCCTTTTAATATATACTTTATGCTCATTTTTAACAATTTGATTTTCATAAGAAGGTGACATGACTGTGTTCTGCAGGATTTTTTAATTATTTTTTTTAATCTAATAACATAACAAAAGCTCTGCACTTCTCTTTCTTTTGATTCATTCAGATTCTATTCTTTCTGCAGTGCCTCAAAAGCACAGCTCCTTCGGCTCCACCTGCCGTCTCAATTCAAATCTTAGACTCCAAGCCTGTAGCTTTCTGGTGTTTCTTCCCTTATTTCTTCTTGAAAATTCCTACATTAAGAACTATTATAGTCTCAGTTTCCAGGATTACAAAGACATGCTGATTTCAACTGCTAGGCTCTGCACATGCACAATTTCTTTAATAACAGAGGTTGCCTAAACATACTGAACTTGCCTGCATGAACAGCTTTCCATTCAATTGGATAACTATGGAAGTGAAACCATAAAAAGCAATATGAGATTTCCATCCATTTATTTTTTTTTCTCTTTCAGAGTAACATACAAGCCCAGAAAATTATAGTATACAATTTTCCTTTTATAGAATGACTCCTATTATAGAGTGCCGCCTATTCATTGATCTTGAGAGTTGGCAATTTATGTGCTACTATAGCAGGCTGTAAAGCTATCTCAAACCCACAAAAAGGTCACGTTAACAGAATATTCAAACCATTTAGACATTGACAAATCCATGGTCTATCTTTATGTATTCATTCACTTATTTTGGTTGAGGCATTCATGTGTGGGTTTTATCTTGAAAAAATCCAAGTTAAGCTTTTATTATCTATTTTTGCTTAAACTAAAAATTTGAAAGTAAGGGTGAGATTTAATGAACATGGGTTTTGGCATCAATACAAAACACAGAGACAGAGCTCTCACAACACCCTTCAAATGTATTGATACAAATTCTTGTGGGCCATGTAGTGAATCGGATGAGGGGACTTCTTGATGAAAGCAACCATTTTTTCCACAACTTTTATTTTTTACAAGAATCTGTACAATCTGTAAAATCTCTACAATTTGCCACATGGCCCCGCTGATAAGGTTGAGGACCAGGAAAAAGAAAAAAAAAAAAAAAGCAGAACTATATGAATGGGGCTGTTGTTACAGAAAGAAACACTTATTGAACTGTGCTGTAAGACTTATTTATTTGCTCAGGTGAACAGTGGAACAGTATCAAAAGAAAAGATTTTTTTTTTTAATGAAAATCTTTTTCATTACTTACCAACTCAAACACCAATATTTTAATTGTTTTTCTCTCTCACTGATCTATACAATATTAAGAAATGCTACTTTGAGAAGCAAATGAATTCCAAGTTAAATTTAACACATAAGCACTAAAAATATTCCAAAACTAAATGAAATCCTATAATCCTCTTTAATAGCTATGGTCAGCTCATTTATCATTAATCTACCTCATTTTTTTCAAAACTCTAGGGAGCAAGCATCAGATTTTTATTTTATTTTTTAAAATTTATGAATGAAAAATGAGTGGAGATCATTGACAGATTAGTGTTCTTATATTACCTGAATTTTCTGGTTTCACAGAAGACATTACTGCATCCACCTCCACCTAGAACAGAGAAGATACAACACAGTGGTTTTCTACAGAAGTGATAAATCTGAATGATTCCTGTATGGTTTCCATTTTATATGAACAATATGTGACTTCACTAAATGCTGATTTCATAGTAATACATATTGTGTTATCATCTATGCCATTTAAGAAAAGATTTAAAGCTAAGATTTTAAAGCTAAATAACCTGATGAAAACGATCAGACTGACTGTTCAGAACTATATTAGGAACTGACTGAGAGATTACTGGCAAATCTTTGAACAATTTAAGGAACAAAAAGGGAGTGTATATCTAAAAAGGCACAGACGTCCACTTTGGGCTGTATTTATACTGCTTTTTAGCATGACTGTTTTCACAAATCCAAGCTCTTGCATCTATGCTGTTAGAATACCAGCTTGCACATACTTGCAGCAGTGAAACATTTCAATGGGAGTAGACGAGGCTTTGGCAGCTTTCTAAGTACAGTCCATTCTGGAGAACGGACAAGCCAAGCATGCTGTGACCAGTTAACCTAAGCCTATAGTCCATTTGGCCTGCAATACTTTTCACAGCCTGTGTTGGGCAAATAGACATGGGAGTCCTTTTCAGAAAGCTTTAATAAGATGTGCCAGAAGAGCAGCTGGAGTTAGTGAGCAGCCCTGAGCTCAGATTGCCTTTCTGTACTCTGGATGCCAAGGTGTCCTGCTGTTGGCTTCTTGATCAGCAGCAGATGCTGAGCTACAGGTGTCCTGATGTGAAGGTATGGAGTTCAGGCAGGGAAAACACTGGGTGTTTTTTTGGACACTGGACACCCAGGCACAGTGTTGAGCTCTTTTATTTAGATCTGAATGTAACATGTAGTACAGCAAGTGAAACTTCAGCTTGGGAAACAAAATGCTTTCATGGCTATTATTCCTGCAGTACCCTCTTTTCATCTGAAACAATGTCTGAATGTGCAGTTAGCTAGCTGAACGGGTGTTGAAACATGGCACACCTTAGATCAATTAAAATATTCTGGGGGAAAAAGGGCTGACTTAACCAAGCGTTCAGAGATTAAAAAAACAAGTATTTTGTCACCCAAGCATGACCCCAAAATGCTACTAGTTACCAGAAACGATTCCTATGTGCTGATAAATATATCAGATGTACATCTAGTATCAGTCAAAAAATCAGGCTCAGCTCTTTCCATTTTCGTATATTCCTAGTTACCTCTCTCAGAAGGCTTAATTTTAACAGTAGACAGCTCAGAATCTCTTTGAATAGACACACAATTACAGTATTTTATAAAAAAATAAAATAGAATTTTGTTAAATTACAATGAATGATTTTGAAAAAGCATGTTAAGTATGAATGTGATTCTTATTTTTAGGTCCTACTTCCTCCAGTAAAGAGTTCATTGCTGACATCTTGTGGGTAACATTAGAATAACTTTTAATTTGTAGAATAAATGAAAACATGACCAAAAGGGATAAAGAAACAATTTACTATAAATGTGGTTGATTGATTGCAGTTAGTGATGCTAAATAAATGCCATTTCTACTGAAAAGAATTACGTTAGTATGCAGTGTAGTTGAGTGAACAGTTTTGCCTCAACAAGTAACATATGCACACCATTCCCTATCTCTTGGAAAAGCTGTTGGAAGTACCCTACTTGTCCGGGCTATTCTTTATGACTTCTAAAGAAATATAAGGGCTATTATTTAGTCCTAGATTTCAATAATTGCGACAACAAGGTAAAATGCACAATAATATTCTCAAGAACTAGACACTAACAATTAATTTTTAGGGCCATGACCTCCATTTGGTTCATATCTGGTGCACAGAAAAAGTTGTTTCTCATAACTTTATTAAAAACAACCAAAATGCCGAAGAGAGTACTCACAATGCATAGCCATCAGCAAAAAGTATGGCACAGCCATGAACCATAGTTAATCATAGTTAGTGAAAGGCACAAAGAGAAGTACCTGTCTACCCGGAGCTTTTAGTATTTTACACTAATCAGTCACTGGATAAAAAGCAACAGTTGCTGGAACTGTGACCACTTAAGGAGCTAGCAAAACCACTAGAGGACAGAATCACACCTGGAACAAGTGTTTTTAATTAATTTTTGTGCAGCTGCACAGACAGAATAGTCTACAGCCAGGTGCTCATGACACTGTCTAGAGACATAGCAGGTGTAACTTGGCACCTTTACAAGAAGAAATAACTAAACCTGCACCTCATTTCTGCCTGGGAGTCTTCTACTTCTATTCTCTTCCCATAAAAGAGCCATCAGTGACTTACACACAGAAACTCCTCGTCTGAATGCCTTCATCGAGCTTTGAGTACTCCTGTTATATTCGGAGAATATAACAGAAAAACAGCTAATTCTAACACAAATGTAAGAACAGACAGCGAAAGACAATTAAGGGGAATCTGAGCATTTTCAGATTCAGAATCCAATAGTTAAATCTCACTTTAAAAGCCTAAATTACTTTTAGATCTGACCCTAGCTCTGTGGGAAAATATTTACTCATAGTTGAAATGTATCAGAGATGATTGCTTTCACAGTTAAATAAAACACTTCTATGGTTTTTACATTAAATAATCATATACAAATTTTTATCTATGACCTTGTTAGGCTATTTTCTGAAAATACGTGAAGAAAAAATAAATACATAATCATTCACAAGTAACCCCTTGAATATTGCTGAAACTGCAGAAGAAAGATGAATCAGAGTTTCTATGCTAAATATATATGATAACATACAGGTCAAGCTTGTATTGTCATAGCATGAGAAAGACAGAGTTGTTGACATACATGTATTTATTTCAAATTCTTGTATGTGTTCTTTATATTCTTTCTGAGATCACTTACAGTACTAGAGTAAAAATGTGATTTCCTGAACTGCATTAAGTCATACAATTTATCACGTACCTTCCTATGAGTACGGAGTACACAATACATGGTTCCTCTCAATAAACCTTTCTTTTGTTAAGATTTTCATACAGAGGAAGATATATATTAGAGAAGTCAAGATTAAATACGTCCCACTTTCACTTGAATCCAGAAATAGGTGTTTTTGAGAATACCAGTTTATTATTAAGATACACGCATCTTCACATCTAGTTAAACTACTGAGTAAAGAAATGGAGCATACTACTAATAAAATACAATAGTTTTGACTTAATCTCTTGATCAATAAATACAACGCATCCCTCTGCTCATCACAGTCTACAGGATACCTTCTCAGCAGGAAAGTGCTTCATTATTTTCTTTTGAAATAAATATCCCCAGATAACAAAATCACTTAAAAAAACTATAGGTGTTCCTGTTTACTCCAATTAAATTGTACAGACCCTTCAGAAAACAGTGTTCTCAGTAACAAGACATCTATATATGCTGGATCTCACATAGACCAGATCTTCAAAACATAAAAGTAAGAAGTATATATAGACACCTTTGAGGGCTTGTAACTAAACAACAGTACTACTGCAACTTTAAATTCCTCTCTGCTTAAATAGCCTTTGTTATCGTCATCACACACTTCAAACACCTGCAGAAAGAAATTGATTTGCGTTAAGAACCAATAAACATTACCAAAATTTTTTACTTAGAGTGACTGTTATGGGGAAAATAAAATAGTTCACTTAGTTCACTAGCTGAATGAACTATGCATAAAAAATAATAATAATAATAATAAAAAGTGAAGATTAGTCCCATCTCTGTCAGAACTCTGTTATGGTAGCTGAAGGACTAAACCTAGTCAGTTTACTTTTAAATTTTTGTTGAAATACATTTTCCTTATTTTTTATGTGCTTAATAAAAGCTTTTTTGTAAACTTAGGAGATATCAGTACAGGCTTCTAGAAACCAAATCATACTAAATTTGTTTCAGTAGGATGTTTCCTCTTGAAATATGCAGGCATGCTTGATTTCTCACTGAAGTTCCTGTATAGACAGGAAACGTAGGACTGAGAGACTGGAAAGCAAGTGTAGTTAGGAGCCATCACATTTTCTAAAGAACTTTTAGGAAAAAATACTGTTTCCATAATCTATGCCTAGATAAGAGATTAAGCACAAAATGTGTAGAAATGGGCATTTTTCCTAAGAGTTTTTCCCCCAGAAGAGCTTCAGCCAGGGTTGATAATAAATCATTGGATCTTCTGGTACTGGAGGATACACCCATAAGTTGTTTGGGGAAGCGATGCCACATGCAATATTACCGCTGAAGCCTGTAGAAAAGTCTTAGTAAATTACCTAAACGAGTTGAAACTTCACTACTATTTTTCGAATAAAATAAATGAGAGCCAAACGCGGGGACGGCTCAGCCCGCTGGGCGGAGCACGCTTTGATGTCGCCCAGGCTGTCACTGCTCACTGGTACACCTGCTGTCCTCCCACTCCCTCCTTGAAGTCGGCGTGCAGTTATCTCATTAGCAGGGCACTTCAGCTGCAGTAATTAACACCGAGCTGAACGAGCGATTATGCAAATCCCGCACCTGCCCTGAGCCGGCACGGAGCTCAAGTGACGATTTATGAGGTTAATTCGGCCGGCTGGGACGTGCCTGGTTTGTGGGGTGGGCAGCACCAGGGGGCCATGGTAGAGATGGGAAGGGCCCTCGGGGGCTCTCGGTGGGACTGACAAGAGGCGTGGGACTGGGCTGGGGCCGGGCTTCTTCCTCCTCCTTCATCTCCTCCTCCTCTCAGGCCCAGGCGCTAGGGCCCGGGGGAAGCCGCCACGCTGCCGGAACGGGAAGGGGCGGGCGGCGGCTGTGGGGCGCCGCTGGCGGTGCTGGGGTGAGCGAGGCTGTGGGGCTCTGTGAGGGTCTGTGTGGTGCGGGGACGTCTCCTCCGGCATCCTAAATGCGTGCCTGGGGGCGCCCCTTTTCCACGTGTGGGTTTCCCCCTTCGCCGCCTGCTTGGCAGCCGTTGCTGTGCCCGCCTTCCTTTGTGTCCCGGGGAGCGGGGCAGGCAAGCCAGGTGCGAGGTTAGGAATTGTGCGAGCTTTCTGCCAAATAAAAACAAAACCAAGGTCGTGGTGACAGGCCGGTGGAGTCTAGGAAGGGAAGCAGCCTTGAGCACAGCAAAACCGCGCGATTTCTGTTTGTTTATTTCTGATTCCTAGGACCATGCTTCAGGAAGGCGCGCACGGCAAATGGACGGTGTCGAGCAGCGATGAGAGCACCGAGGAGAACTCTGACGGCGAGAAGCCCTCCACATCTGCGCTGCTCAGCGCCGCCCAGGGCAAAGCCAGCGGGCCCCAGTACCCCTGTTCCGAAGCCAGGAAGGCTGCTCACAAGAGAAAAGCCTCTCCGGTGAAGTTCAGCGATAAAAGCCTCGCTCCAGAAACGCCTCCCGCAGAGAAACAGAGAGCGACCCAGGAAGGCTCGGGCTGGTGTCTTTCCAGTAGCGATGAAGAGCCCGAAGACCGGGAAAAGAGTGCCCCCCAAAAGAGGCTGAAAGAAGAAAAGTGTGATGCACCCGAAGAGCTGCCTCCAAATCATATCAAAGACGAGCACTCGGGGAATCACAAAGCAGAGGACTATAACGAAGCAGCCAGTGAAGCCCAGGATACCTGGGATTTGCTGAACGGAGGGAACCCTTTCAGGTTTTTTCTCACTAAAGTCACGGGAATTGAGCAGAGCTATAACTCTGGAGCCTTGCACATCAAAGGTGAGCAAGTGACTTGTGGAAGTGGGCTTTTGGGGGTGCTTGTGTGCATGAGAACAGTTCCTTATAGCCTGTGGGTATTTTTAAATGCCCAAATCCCTTGGTGTAGCTGAGGCTTGATATTCTGAATGCGAATGTTGCAGGAATGGGCTCTGTTACCTGCTTTTGTGCTTGTATTCATGCTATGGAGTGGTTTGGACCTACTAATTCAGTGTTACTTGATGCAGTAGAAGGTACCACTAGTGGGTTTTTGTGGCTAGGGTTCGCATTTCAGTGCAGCTGGAAATGAGCATAAGTCAAAATAGAGCAGTCTTCAGTGATGTGATACTGATGCTTTATGCTGTGTAACTAAAATTAGTTATATAGCTGATATAAGGGGGGAAAAAGCAACATGCACCTGAGGAGTTCAGCATCTCTTTCTCCATCTGATCTTAGTCTCTTTCCTAATGAGTTTTTGCACTTGACTTTCCACTTTAGTGGGGTAATGCTATTTAAAACTATAAGACTGTAGTCACATCACAGCAGGACTGGGAACTTTAATATTAAAGTCAGTAAACTTAATTGTGAATGTTTGCTGCACTAAGTGTGAACAGTCTGGTACTCATGTTGTAGTTATCATGCCAGTCAAGATGCAGAATGCTTACTTGAACTTTTTTACTCAATTATGTCTTAATGTTTTTAATAGATATTTTGTCTCCTCTTTTTGGGACTCTTGTATCTTCTGCTCAGGTGAGTTTCTTGTTTGTCAGATTTACTTTGCTTGCTTATTTCACTCTGTTAACCTCAAACCTGATAATCCATGTTTATCATGTAGCTGATGCAAGTAGGGAACTTGATTAAAATATAGAGGGAACCCTAAATGTTTTTCAACTGTCTTGGGATCGGTACTGTTTAATAGCTTTTATCAGTGACAAAATCCCACAGACAGTGGGACCGAGTGCACCTCCAGAAAGTTCACAGATGGCACTAAGCTGAGTGGTGTAGTCAATATAACAGATGTAAGGGATGCTGTCCAAAGGTCCCTGGACAAGCTAGGGAAGTGGGCCCATGTGAACCTAATGAGATGCAATGTGCTGCACCTGGGTTGGGGCAGTCCCATACAGGAGTACAGGCTGGGAGAAGAACTCATGGAGAGTAGCCTTGTGGAGAAGGACTTGAGGGTTTTAGCGGGCAGAAAGCTTGCCATAAGCTGGTAGTGCATGCTTGCAGCCCAGAAGGCCAACTGCATCAAAAATGGCCAGCAGGTGGTGGGAGAGGATTGCCCCCCTCTGCTCTGCCTTTCTGAAGCCCCACTTGGAGCTCTGCATCCACGTAGGGGCCCCCAGCACCAGAAAGATGTGGATCTGTTGAAGCCCAGAGTAGGGCCACAAAGTTGATCAGAGGGCTGGAGCAGCTTTGCTTATGGAGGTGTGCTGAGAGAGTTGGAGGTGTTCAGCCCAGAGAAGAGGAGGCTCCAGGGAGACCTTACTGCAGCTTTTCAGTACTTAATGGACACTATAAAAGAGATGGAGAGCAACTTGGGGGGGTGGGAGGGGAGCAAACAAACAATGACAGGACAAGGGGGAATGGTTTTAAACTAAAAGAGGGGAGATCTAGATTAGAGATTAGGAGGAAATTCTTCATTTAGGAGGTGGTAAGGCACTGGGACAGGTTGCCCAGACAGTTTGTGGAGGCCCCATCTCTGGAGATGTTCAAAACCAGGTTGGATGAGGTCCTGGGCAACCTGATTCAATAGGTTGCATCCCTGCCCGTGGCAGGGGGATTGGAACTGGGTGATCTTAAGGTCCCTTCCAACCCAAGCCATTCTATGGTTTTATGAAATATAAAAATAATCCCATGTTCTTAGAATTAAATTGTTTATAAGACCATCTCACATTCTGGGAATATGCAACTGAAAAATGCATCTTTATGTAATTGTAAGTGATTTAAAAATAAGTGTGTGTTGCAATCTAGGAATATTTTTGTTATTACTTGGAAGCTCTTCCTGTATAAAGAGATGGTTCTTACACTGCAGCTTTTACATCATGCGTATGTGATTCTTCTTGTGTGCATGCTGAACTTTATGAACACTAATGCATTCTTTTGAAAAACTCAAATTTGTCCTTGAATGAAGAGACATGAAAGAAAGGAGTTGAAATTCAAAAATGTACTTGTTCTTAAAACATGCTGTTTGAAGTTTTTATACTGTTTTTGTTTGTTATGATGCATCGTTGCGCATTTGTATGATATAAGTGGTAATGAGCAATAACTTTATGCATTTTTGTTGTATTCCATTGTTTTGACAAACAGCTGTTTTCTTTTTCATGAGCTTGTTTTCTTTTTTTATGCACAAGTTTAACTACTGCATAGATGTGGAATGGCTCGTTAGACAGTATCCACAGGAATTCAGGTATGTTTATTTTCCAAAGATGAAATAATAGCAGTTTTTAAGAAATTCTGCTCATGTGAGTTCATCTTACAATTGAATGATAAGCTTTTGCTTACCCTGGGAAATTATTTTTTCTGATTGTGTACGTGTAGGCTATTGTTTTTTCCTTTCACACTTATTCCACAGTTGTATTTCTCTATTGATTTCTTGCTTTTTTTTTTTTAAAGTATTAAATGGACAGAGTTCAGTATGGCTGGTTTCTGATTTTCATTAGTCACCATTTAGAAGACCCTACTGTGTACCAGTGCTTCAGTGTAGTAGGTGACTTATGCAAATGGAACAAAAAACCCTGTGCCATGCAATTTACAGACCCAAGAAAAAGATAATGCATGAGGAAGGAGGGAATGTAGGAGGAGCATAAGAAAACCATGTGAAATGATTGGGATGTTATGTAATGGCTGGAGTTGCTGGATATTGTCATGAAAGTAGTTCTTATTTCCTCGAAGTTCTACTCTGATAATGGCAACCTGCAACATGAAGTGAACTTATAACAGTTTTCGTTCCTGTTTTGTATTTTCTACAGCACTCAACAGAACAGAGTATTAGGAAGCAAAAATGAAACTACTGCTAGAATAAACCTAGCTTCTCCTTCTTTGTTTCAATCTTTTCTGTAAATAAACAATAAATAAATTCTTATATATCCACATTTGCTATATCAGTACTTCAGAGATCTTATTTCTGTATTTCTAGCTATACAGACAAGAGTTCCTTACAAGATCCTGTATTACTAGTTTTTATTTTCAAGTCTGATTTTCTCCATGCACCTCCTGTTTTCTTTTTTCTATTAAAGTGTTCTAACATCTTTCTCATAGAACTATATAGTAGTTAATGTTTTTTTCAGTTAGTTAGGCATGTAGAATTTAGTGCCATCTTTCTGATGGGCCATTGGGTTTAGGAGCCAGAAGTCACAGCTACATCAGAAGCTGGTTTGGGTTGATTGCTAATTCATTTG